GTTCACATGCTGCCCTTGCTTTGTTCATGCTGGCAGTGGCTGCCCGGTGGGAAGGCTAACAGGGCCAGCTGCCTGCCCCTGGTGGGATGAGCTCTCTGGACATGAGTAGAATTAACCACCATCAGCTATCTAATTATTATCTCCAGATCCAAAAGAACATGGAGTCGGCAGGGCCAGTGTATCCATCACGGTTGATGATGAACACAGCTAGCTTAGAGTGTTTTCTGTACCTGGGCTGAGTGGAGAATGAATTTAATTTCAGGATTCAATTGAGAATTCCTTTTCTACTTTTCATACCTAAATCTAAATTCTAAATTGACCATGGAGAATTGAAATTCAAATTTATAATCAAAATGGAATGTAGTGTAAATTAACTTGTTTATTTATTTATTTTTAGTAGAAATTAGTCAAAAGCGTATTATCTAGTGCTGGGCAAGTTAACGCGTTATTATCGCGTTAACGCATTTATTAATTAATGCCGACAATTTTTTTATCGCGCGTTAACGCAGAGTTTTTTTATTTTTATTTTGAAAGTCCGTTGCTCACTGGCTCTGAATACACATAGGCCTACAGTCAAACCATGATCACAGGAGGGGTGGGATGTTGGTCAGCCAGCAAATAACCCACCCAAACAAGCAGTGGAGAGGCTTTGGCAGGTTCTCTCAGGTGAACAGAAAGGGAGACAGCGCTCCGCGAGTGAATGACAGGCGCTCTATGGATAGTAACCATGGCAACGGCTTCTGTGCGCTACGCAACTGTAGCCTTTTTAACTTAAATTAAAATTATACATAACTTTACCTGATAGGCCTGCGTTTAGTTTAGCGGGGATGCTCTGCCATGTGATTTCCCTCCTGTTGATGTCCTGATAACTATTTAGATTCTGGAAACTCAGAAACAGCGAGCCGAGGATCAGTCTCTCTTCCAATGATTTGTGCTGCGCGTCGTGTACAAAAAAGTTAGACAATTTAACTTCGGCAACGCGCGGGCGCGTGCGTGCGTGAGGCGAGCATGACTGCAACAGTTTCACAGGAACGCACCCGCTTGTCGCTGCACCTGTGCTCGACCACTTCACCTCATTCTAGGCTGATTTATACTTCTGCGTCAGAGCTACGCCGGAGCCTCTACGCTATAGACTACGCGTTGGTTTTCATTTATAAATCTGCGTCGTTGTCCGCGTTGACGCGCAATTACACATGCAGAGGGAGAGTGTGAAACCCGGGGAGCGGTTCTAGCAATCACAGCGCTTGCGGTACGCGTAGAATTGACGTTACATTTTTGGAGAGATGCACGTCAGGGTACGCGCGCTACACAGCTACGGCGTGAGTTCGACGCAGAAGTATAAATTGGGCTTTACCTCTGTTTAATGTAATCTTAAGTGGGAAACCATGGCATGCCATGACCAAACCTAAGCTGCTATCAGAGAAGTAACGTTGGTCGACTTATATCTGTAGTGATCATGACCCTTTGACTACATAGGCTGTTTCTGCTGCTCCCTGATACAAGATACCTGTTCAGAAAAAAACACACAAGAAAACTGGACTCGTTTTAACAAGCTAGATAAAAGGTAATGCCCTGGCAGTGGCAAATAGCTTTGTTTAAATATTTGATTTGATTACATTAATGTTTAAGTTGAGATTTACAAGAAATATTTTATTGATACTGTGTAAAGGGAATACTGCTGGTATAAAAGCACCTTATTTGTTTAAAGTTTTTGCAAACCACATGTTATTGCACTTTTGTAGCAGTACATTTAAATCAAAAGTGCGCAATACACTACTTTAGAATTCATTATACAATTTTGCGCGTAACAAGAAAATCATGCGATTAATCACGATTAAATTTTTTAATCGTTGCCCAGCACTATATCATAGTATTTTTCTACTATTATATTACTAAATTACTAAAAAAGTGACATCTTATTTATCTTTATGATGACTGAATCTGGATCTATCTTGACTGAAAGGCAGTGAATTCTGGATGAAAAATGGATGTGTGGCGTGAGAGTGTGTGAAAAGTGTCAATTGCGTGAGTCTCACGGTCAATGCGTGTTGGCAGCCCTGCTTTTAGAAGGGGGATAAATCGTTGGCAGGGTTCCCCCTTCCGCCATGCTTCTTCTCCATGTGAGGATTGTTTACATTAGACTAGAGTGCGCAATGCGCCGCATGCACACAGTGCTTATACATGTGGGAATTGTTTACATCAGAGTGTGCACGTGTTTTGCGCAGCATATACGTAGTGTTTTTTAAGCGGTTGATGGAAAATAAGCTAATGCGCGTTCTAAAAATCTAAATTCGGATCTATTATTTTTCACGGTATTTTAAAGTCCCCGCGATAACAATATCGTGCATATTCATTACCGCGATTTATCGCATTACCGAATACCGGCACATGTCTACTCGCTAATAAAGTTTTGATGGATGAGGATGAATTTGCAGCACAGAGTTCACCAAACTTGAACTTTGGAATGCAGCGAAATACAAAACTTTTCGCATGAGCTTGCGTTTCCAGTCTGACGCATTCGCATGCGTTTGAATCAAGCGTGCCGCACAAGCCCTCAAAAGTGAAGCCAAAACGTCTCGATCGCCCCCCCGTGACCGGTCCTAGTATAGGTCATAAACCCCGCCTCCCCATGTTATTCAACGGGACGTGAGACCAACTAAATAATTAAATTACACTTCACATATCTTTTTTTCTAAAGATAGTTTCTGACATTTACTGTAGTTTCTATCACGTTGCTGTAATTTCAAGTGTTTGTTTTTAAAATAAGTTAGTTTTTAGTTAGTTATTTGATGCCAGGGCCGTCGCTAGTGGGGTGAAAGGTGGTGACAATTATAGGGGCCCCCGCTGCCCAGGGGGCCCCACAAAATCCAGCAGTTATACTATTCTAGGCCCCTGTTGTATGAATAATTCTAATATTTATATTAGTTGTATGCCTGAGATTTAAATGAAAACCACAAAAACGTGGAATTTGGGTAAATATTTGTCCAAATATCTGCTTCTCTTACCTCCATAAAAATGGTTTAGTCCGACCTAAAGTATTTATTAATTATTCAGTCAGAGTCAGTGACAAACATCAGATGGACCCAATAAAATTGTAAGTCCCACCCCAGCTCGTGAACAGAACCAATCAGAGTTGAGGCGGCAGCCTGAACAGTTAACGATGAACTTGGTGGAAGAGCAGGAGACTGACTGACTGAAAAATGTCGGGGAAAAGAAAACAAAAATCAGTGAACCAAAAATGCCTGGAAAAGACGGAGAGGGAGGCAAGGAGAGTGGTTGTATCCCAGTCGATCAAGACGTTCTTAAAGACCGGTTATATAATGTTATTTCGCTGGGAATTAGAAAACTTCCGTCTACAGTCTGCCGTGTACAGTCATTTTTTATTATCGGTGCGCGCCACAATCGACCGAATGATTACGTGGTCTAAATTCCTGTCTTTTTACAGTATTGTAACTAGAGTTTTAAAAAAATTACACGAGTCACGACGCATTGCATTATGCATCTGACCTGCCGGCTGATGATATTTAAAACATCGAGAAAACACGAATTCAACACACTGCACTTGGATGAATAAATGTATTCGCTTTATTTAATAATATTACCAGTTCCATATTATCTTTATTAAAAAATAAGGCAATATGGTTTTATTTTTTTAATTAGACTGCATTCTTGTCAATTTCTAAATGTTTACTTTTTGATTTATGAATTATAACAGACTGATGGGGGAAAAAAAATTATTACTTTTTAAAAATTGGTTTTATTATTATTTAACAATTTCTTGCTTTTTGTTAGTTTTTATTAGTTGTAATTTTTATATAAACATTTAACTTTTAAAATAAAGGTTTCACAACAACATCACCATCTTCTGTTATATGTGGGCCTCCATGTTCATCTATTGTACAGTATATGATATTGGTGGAGGGTGGTGGGGGCCCACATCAATATTTTTTCAGGGGGCCCCGAATCCTCTAGCTACAGCCCTGTTTGATGCTATAAAAACGGTGCTGTGACATCATGATTGACAGCTGTGATTGACAGGTTCTCTGTGCGAAGTAGTCACTGAAGTACTAACAGACTTTTTTTCATAATGTTGACTATGTGGTTAGTAGTTGTATTTACCTTATTTTAACGAGGTACTGCAATCAGCAGACATCATTGGAGAGGAACGGAGCAGACAAGGCCACTTAAGAAAAAAGCAGGGGCGTGTGCTTACGATTGATTCAGCGAGAGTGGGGGCGGGGCCTTGATTTCGCGGCTTTACTTCCTGCTCACGACTGCGCATGACTGGTCCCGAAAACGCTACTGCGCAGACTCAAGTTCCAATATGTCAGCGCCATATCGGGACACTGGCCTACTGTCTATGGACACTGGCGGCTTCAGTTCTCTCCAATGGAAAAGAGCGAAGGGGCGTCGTCCATCTTTTTTTACAGTCTATGGTTTGAATAGAAGTCAATGGAACGAAAAGTGACCGCCGCTTTACAGTGAGTCCGTTATATGGATGCACAAACAAACCTCGTACGTGCACTCTTGAAGCACTGATCGCACATTGTGTTTATGCACAAGCACATTTCAGTACATTTACGTTGTTTCCACACACATTCAGGATAATGTTTAGATTTGTCATGAGAATGTTGCTGTGTTTAGTAATTCTAAATGGATCCGTGTACTGTAGTAGGTATATGCATAATTTGGTTATTTGCTGTCCTTTTGGAAAGACACCTAAATTTACCTTGAAAATACAGTTTTGTGAGATTCACCTGGTTTACTTTGATGAATATAGCAAACGATGAAAAAATGAACGTGTTAAACAAGATAAATGGTGTATGCGTAATTTCATGATTCAATAATCGCACAAAAGGTTTTGATGACAATTAAAAAAAATGACCTACTGACACCCCTAATTTATATATTTATATTATATATTGAAAGACATTTTATTTTTGGATTTATTCTACAGTATATTTTATAGTCTTTGTTTTGTTATTTGATGTATTTCGTAGGGTGGTAAACACAAGATCATGGAGAAATGCAATCTGCCTCTGACCGGAAAACAGTGTGTGGACCGTATCATCACAGAAAAGGTGGGTTTTGATATTAAAAGATTCATAGTTTTTACCATTTTAGCATTAAGAGACTTTAATCAACAGCCCACACCAGTCTCTTCTGGTACAGAATAAATGCCATCTAGTCAGCAGCTTATCACTTCATCAATATACCGAATCAGCCTCGGATTAAACTTCAGTCACCACAGTGAAAAGCTTTGAAAATGGCTTTGCTCTTTTCTCTTAACGCATGTGCAAAGACATAAAGGGACATGACCAATTGTTATGACACTGCACATAGGCAGTAGAAAATGGAAATCTAATTATCGGACCAACCCTAATCAAATCTCCTGATCGGAGCGACATTACACATCGACATATTTTTTTCCAACACAGAGCTCTTTAATGTGAATGTTACTTAATAATATTATCAGCCCTGCCACATGGCCAAGGATCGGAGAGCTGGGAAAATCCCAGCTGGATTGTGGAGAGTAAGGATTTGTTGTCCTCTCATCTCATCAAAAAAGCCTTAGGAGATGGTCCAGGGGCTCTTGAAAGATGCAGCTGTTTATAGGCTATCTCAGCTGCTCAGAGCTGCTGGTTTTTATGGACTGCTGCTGGCACTGGTTGAGCCGGTCTCTCGTCTCACCAGTGTTATCACTGAACTGTAGAACAGCAGTCTTACCTGCCTTCCTCCCCTCCTTACCTTTTAGTCTTCTCCCTGTCCCCTACTTCCTCTTTATATGCTTTGCCAGCGTTTGCTTTTGTAACAATCACACAACGTGGTTTCCAATGAAAGGATTCTGTCAACATTTATAAAGGTTAGAGCTCTCCAGCTACACTGCCACCACCTTCTATTCAGCCTGTGTTTGTCATGCCACCCTGCTGCTTAACACAGCCCCTGTCTGTCAGCCTAACAAGCTGAGCTTCAGCTCTGGTAATAATAAGAACCGCTCGGATGTTTAACCTTCATGTTCGGCGAGACCCCAAGGCCATTGTAGTAGCTCAAGAAACATGAAGTATCTGCTTGATACTTGGTGGCTTTTTCTAATCGTATGAGGACTGATTGCAAAGAACTGATTATAATTTCAACTTGATAACGGAAGAATGTTATCAAGTTGAAATTATAATCAGTTCAGTCTTTGTAATCAGTTCTCATAAGATTAGAAAAAGCCACCAAGTATCATAATAACAAAATGTTATATTTTGTCTGTTTGGGGTCTCGGATATTACAGATTAATTTGCACTTGTTAACATTTTCTGATGGCTGTTTTATACAACAACTGTAATATAGTTGTTTATTTTAGTTATCATATAGATTAGTTATCATATTACTTATTTCGTTATCATCTTCATTTGGTAATTAACACCCTGGTGTTGGTTATTTTTTGTTGAATAACACTTTTTATGTTTTTGAAAAAATGTCTCATGTTCACCAAGGCTGTATTTGTTTGATAAAACAAATTAGATATTATTAGAATTTAAAATAACGTATCTTTTTTATATATATATTTTAAAATGTAACACATTCGTGTGATGGTAAAGCTGGCAAAGTCTGCAGTGTCACATGATCCTTCAGAAATCATTATAATATGCTGCTTTGGTGCTCAAGAAATATTTCTTATCATTATCAGTGTTGAAAACCATGTGCTGTGTGATTTTTAAATGGTTCTTTGACTAATAGAAAGTTCAAAAGAACATTTATTTGAAATATTTTAATTGAATGCATCCTTGCTGAATTAAAGTGTTAATTTCTTTCAAAAAATCTTACTGACCTCAAGATTTTGAAAGGTTATGTATATTTTTCTGCAGAAACAATATTAGTATTCTTCTGAATAAATAGTTTTCTGAATAATAGTAATAATAAATGAAAAAAAATCATGCTTTCTTTGATACAATGACCTAACAAGAAAATACAGTTTTTATTAATGATATTATTATATAAAGTATATTATTGTTCATTGTGGATGTTAATTCATATTTATTCACAATACATTGACTAATTTAAATATTAAAACAATACATAAAAAAATGTATTTGTATATGCAGAAATTAACATTAAGATAAATGCTGTAAATGCAATGTTTATTTTTAATTAATTAACATGAATGCTTAAAATAATTTTAAGGGAAAATAAGAAGTAGGGTACAACGGGCTAAAGGCAAACCTTAAGAAAAATGTGCTGTTCCCATAGTGTATGACTGCAGAAAAACATTCGTTTTTTTCACACAAAATCTGTTGCTCCATAAATGTTCAATACAAACATATGTTTAAAAATCTTATACATGTATACGAGGTGGAAAGGTGGACCTTTTACCCCACACACGGGGTAACAGGCACACAGTATTTATACAAATACTTTAGCTAAAATAATATGTTTTTAATCATGTCTAAGTTAATACTTGTTCAAAATAATCACTTTAGCAAAGTTTGCACTATTTTCTGTTTATTTTGATAAATAAAATAATTAATTTTGTTCAATAAATATACTGTCATTAAAAATATATATTTGAAAATACATTAACAATTTTTTTTAAAGTAAATATTCTGAAAGCATTGAATGAGATCCCATAATAATTTAATATAGATTTACAGTAGTAACATTAAATCATATTTTATTATATGATATGATTAATATCATATTTTGTATATATGATGGTTTCATTATTATAAATATGGTGATTATCTCTAAGGTGGACACCCAACTTAATATATGATATTTACTATCTGAAATGGAAAAGTCAGCATTATCATGCTAACAGCAGGGGCGCCTTTTACCCCAAATACCATACTTTTACATATTCTTCCGTTATTAAATTACTTTGAACATCACTGAAAATCCTCAAGAAGACATTTGTCTCAAAATATTCAATAATTTTAAGTGAATCTCGTTTGCTACTTAAATCTTCAACATTTAAAAAAGACATTACATATTAGATCAAATTAGCACAGAATACACTTTGCGCTTCATAAAAAAATAGCAATAGCACTTATTAGCATCTTAAATGCTAAGAGTTACATGCTCCTTCAGCCAAAGCAGTTAAACAGCTGAATCAGTCTGCAGCCTAAGCAAATGCTCCACTCTTCTCCACAATGGTAACCCACTGTAATTTAAATGGTTCTAATAATTCCAATGTAATTGAACATTAAACACAATTACACACTATCAAGTCTTCCCCTTTTCTCAAAAACACATAAAATAACGCTTAATTTCAACATTTATTCTCTCTTAATTCAACCATATGCAAAGCATGCTGGGAACTAACAAGCACCGCCCAGTTAATGCAACAGTAATCATTCATCAAATCCAACACAAACGGATTAAGTCAACTTAAATTTGACATATGTTTAAGCAGATTGAACACAATCAAATTAAGTTAGGACAAAATGTATAGCAATTGTGTTGCTTAAGCTCCTTTTAACTAAGCAATTTGAAAAAGCAGCAAAAATCTTTTTTTTTCAGTGAAGATTCAGATCATTCCCATGTGCATCTGGAAAAGCAGATGTTTTGGAAAGTGCTACGGCAAGTTTTTGTGCCGTTTAGAGGAAAATAAAATCAAAGGAGACTTTTACCGTGGAGCCTTTAACCCCATTGTACCCTAAATTTTAAAATTACAGTTGACCCCAAATATAAAGACTGTAAAGTCACTCTCAGAAGAACATGAGGGTTAAGCTGTCTTTTTGAACCTCCCACAAAAATATTACAAAGAAAGAGCAACTGTGTTGGAGCCAATGAATGAAACTTAACGTATGCGAATCATATGTTAGTTAAAGGACTTATTTTTATTATAAGATGCTTTTCATGTGCTTTTCATGTGTTGTCCTAGAAATGTAACTAATACAGGGCAAACATTGTTTCCTAGAATGAATATTAATCTAAACGTGGCTTTCTGGGCCAATTTGCCACTTGTCATCTCAGCAGCACGCATATCTCCAGCAATGAAAGTTTTTATAGAAACATTGCTGGCAAGCTGTGATGTGATTACGCCATCCATCTTGCCATATTTGACTGTTCAATTTGCCTTCCCCTGATTGTTGAAAAAAAATAAACAAACATGCAGCACAATATCTCTGAGGAAATAAACATTTTTTTGGACTGTCAGAGTTTACGGCTGGACACTGGCAGGTAGATTAATGCTATCGCCTGCATTGTTACACACCCAAGCAAATCCTCCAGCAATCAGAGCCTCTCATTCAGGTGGAAGAGAGGATACAGAGACAGCAGGTTCAAGGCGAAGCGACAGCAAGCGTGCTGCCCATGGCAGGTTGTGCTCCACAGGTACAGGGTGTAATGAGACTACAGGAAAATTAGATCTGGGTCACATTGAACATGCAAACATACATGATTTGGTTCAGTAATAGCCTTTAGCATGCGCAATGCATTCACTTGACATCTTGCAAGTCATTGTGACGCAGACAAATGTGTTTTTATCCCTCTACAAACAACATTGTGTATTGCATTATTAGGACAATAAAGTGTTGTTATTATATTAATGATGGCTTGATGGAGAAAAACATGCACATTATGAAAACATTTATTTCATAATGTGATTTTACCACCACTTTCAATTCTTTTACTTCAATGAAAGGTGTAATTTTTGCCAATTTTTTTAATGAAAGATCAAAAGATAAACAATGCTGATTTTACAGAGCAGAATTATTATGAATAAAGCACTATTTCATCTCAGTACAGATCTGCAGCGCATGTGATATACTGTAATAAAGACAGTGGTTGGATTGAATAATTATTTAGTTTAAATGTTTTTAATATACAGTGGGGTAGAAAAGTCTAAGACCACTAGTTAATATGTTTGTATCTTACAAACATATTAAAAAAAGTAATATACTTACTTGTATATTACATTTTTATGTTATCAGCATAACAATTTGAGTGTAAAGTTAAATTGGAAAAATGAACATGACTTTCTGAATGGTCAAGTATTTGGTATGACCCTTTTCCTTTAATGAGCAACTTTTAATGAGCAACTTTTTATAACAAGTTTTAATATTGAACTCTCTGACCATTTTCTCAAGCATGATTTGATCCGAAGAGCATCTAGAGGTTCAGTGAAAGCAAGAACATCTGACCATCTGTACGAAGGAGTTCTCAAACTGACTTATTTGAATAGTGACCAAGAAATAGTGTAAAGTTGGAAATATTTCTTATGCCTTTTTTTTTTCATCATAACTATTTCCAGGTTTAAATCCCCAGGTTTTCAATGTGTTCCCAGACAGAAACATGTTTTTATTTCATTACATCACAAAGTTATGGAAGCTTGTTTCCGCCACTGAATAAAAAAAATAATTGCGACTTTTTATCTCACAATTGCGAGATATGAAGTCAGAATTGTGAGAAATAGTCGCAAGTGCGAGATATAAAGTCGCAATTCTGAGAAATAAAGTCGCAATTGCGAGATATAAAGTCGCAATTCTGAGAAATAAAGTCGCAATTGCGAGATATAAAGTCGCAATTCTGAGAAATAAAGTCGCAATTGCGAGATATAAAGTCGCAACTATGAGAAATAAAGTTGCAATTGCGAGAAAAAAAGACAGAATTGCGACTTTTTATCTCACAATTCTGACTTTTCATCTCGCAATTCTGACTTTATAACACATACTTGCGAGTTTATATCTCGAAATTCGGACATCTTTTCTCAGAATTATGAGATATAAACTCGCAATTCCGAGTTATCAGGCCAATTCTAGGGGGGGAAAAAGACTAACTTTTTTCCCCTCAGAATAGTTTATATCTCACAATTCTGACTTTACAACACGCAAATGCGACTTTATATCAATCAATTCTGACTTTACAACACGCAATTGCGACTTTATTTCTCAGAATTGCGACTTTATATCTCGCACTTGCGACTATTTCTCACAATTCTGACTTTATATCTCCCAATTCTGACTTTATAACACGCAATTGCGATTTTATATCACGCAATTCTGACTTTATATCTCGCAATTCTGAGAAATAAAGTCAGAATTGTGAGATGTAAACTCGCAATTGTGAGAAAAAAGTCAGAATTGTGAGATAAAAAGTCGCAATTTACCTTTTTTTATTTTTCATTCTGTGGCGGAAACAAGCTTCCATACAAAGTGCCTTTTCTGTGTGTTTTTTTTCTTTTTCTTTTTTTTTCTCACTACATTGCATTTCTCTACCCTGTCTAACCACATCCTCAAGGTCAGAAGAGTTCACTTACACATGGCTTGCACATTTGATGGCACTTCTGTCATGGTCACATTGTTGTCCTTTCTTCTCCAGGCGGTATTCGATGTGGACAAGAACGAAGGTTTAACCCTGATTGAGGTTTGGGAGGGTCTGACACCAGCTGACATTAAGAAATGCACAGGGACAGACTTTGAGGTGAATGACACAACTGATGAATTACACAAACAGTTAATAAAATTGAACACTTTGCACCATACTTTATGTAGTATCCATAGCCAAAAATGACATTTAACAACAAATAAAGCCCTTTAATGCTTTAATGAATCATCATCCAGAATACAAGGTCATAACTTTGACTTCTTCTTTTCTTTTTTTTTAAACAGGTCTCTCCTAACTTGAAAGCAATGCAGCAAATTTAACACATTTAGGAAAAATGCTTAATTTAGTTCGGACAGCTGACGGAAACCAAACACTTGTTAAATCCCCAACTCAACTACTTTTAGGTCTTCAACTGAAGATTTGCTAGGAAATTTCACTGAAACGTATACAAAACAAATATTTAAAAAGGCCATCGAGCCTTCACAGTAACTTCATCTGTTCAAATAAAGTCCATGAATGTGCAATAGACTGAATGGTTGTTTTAGCAAATATCAATTTATTTAGTAAAAACAAACGTTTTGTTAGAATATTGAATACAGAATATTGTCAATAGGTATTGTGTTTAATCACACAAAACAATCCATCTGCAATTCATAATTAAAACCGTTATGCTATTAAATTCAACTTTACAGGTCTAAGGCCTTAAATGTTCTGTTCACAGTGTGTACATATTTGAACTAAGCAATAAATGTCTATTAATGACCTGGGCAAAAAAAAAAACATCTTGTGTTTTTATATTTATGTACTGCAGTTTATTGTTAAACCCTCTTATTGTTTTAACGTTAGTACTTAATTTATTTAGTAGTACACAAAAGATGTTAAGCAGAGGCTCTTTTCACAATGACGTCCACCTATCCTAAACAAGTGTTTCTCTTCTTCCCTCTTACCTTCGCACCGGAGACTTCACGTGAAATTGTTGTAACAACTTGAAATAGGAAAGTTATAAGTTAAGAGTAAGCCTAATGGTGATTAATTATTTACACGGTCGAGTTCTTTTGGTAACGTTATTGATTATTTCCATTCTGTAACTGCAGATGCTTAGGGAAGTAGGCTAGCTAGCAGCAACTTTAACACCAATGTTATTGTCTATTGTCTTTGAAATGCTGTTGTATGACAACGATTACATTTCCACAAAATCTGTTATTTGGAATAACAAGAATATTGTGTTTAAAAACAAATCTGTGTTTAAAAACTGGTGAGTTATTTTAGAGTAATTGGATGTAAAAGTATTACATCCACATACAGTATAATACTCTGGAGAATTAATGGTGTAAAGATTTTAGATCATTACATCATACCATTTTTAACTGAGCTGATGCAATATATTGAGATTATAAAATATGTAAGAAAGTATAGAATACTTTTTTTCATTTAATGTTATTTCCTAGGTAATTTATTTGGATAATTTATTCTGTAACAGTGAGACTACTGTGTAAATCCTCTGTATATTTTGTGTTTGTGACGTTCTTGTCCTGCAATAAAAAGAAGAAAAACCGATGATGTGAGGGGGTTTTTGTACGATGGGAAAAATTATATGGAAAGGAGTCATATTTAATATCAAGTATTCTCTTATGTCAGTTTTCTCTACTAATTGTTAAATTTCACGTACATTAATGCAAGTGGTCTGAAGGAAAAGCCAATATCATCCAGTTTCAAAACAACAACCGAACACAACCAATAAAAAAAACTTCACTAAAGAATAGCTACACTTAAGTTTATGAAAGTTATGGTGTTGCTTTAAATTAAGTATGAATTAAGTCATTTCAACTTAAAATTGTATTTAAACTGACTTAAGAAATCAAGTTGAATATCATATAACTTAAAAAAGAAAGTTGAAATTGCTTAACTTATTTTAAAGTAATGTAAAAACATTACTGCATTATTGCAACAGTGCATGACAAACAATAACATGTCTATTCCTATTTATTGAATTAACCTGCTTTACATGTCCTCCTGCAATATTAGTCTGAGACAACGGAACTCCTGGTTAACCACAGATTATCTCATCATAATCAAGTTTCTCTGTCAGTTCGCATTAAAGGAAAGGGGACTTGTCACGGCCCTGCTTTCATTGCATCTTTTCTAAATTTAGCCTAATGAAAGTGAAAGGTGACCGAGACTGTCTTTCTAACATCTTCTTATAATTGGATGGCCTATTTGAATAGTTGTATCATCTATTTATTGAAGCTCTGCAATTTAAGCTTGTTGTTTTGTCATTTGCATGACGCATCTGTTTACACTTGTTGCACAACCGTTTGTTTCTAACGCGACCTGAACTGCTTCACAAATCAGACTTGCAAACATGTACATCGACTGTGTTAATATTCAACTTGAAAGAGTGAATGTGTGTGATGCACGGATGGAGGATTCGCCCGCCCTGTTCCTCGACACAAACAATAGTTCTTCAACAACATCAAATGAATTAATGAAATCCGCACGAGCATTGCGCGCGCCACATGCTATCTAATTGCGCCCACACCCAGCCAGCAGACACATGGGAGGGAATCATTTAGACCTGTTACATGCAACGAGCTTATATGTGTTTGTAAAGACGATCTTTAAATCCAGAAATCTGGGTAAATTGTGATGCATGTGCGGCGCGCGCCGTCTCGGGGGTGTGGTGATGCTCGTGCTGTGAACTCACGCGAGCGCGGGCGCTGAATACTAGAGCACTCCGAGCGACGCACGGACACTGAGCACCGGAGAACCGACGACATGGCTTCGTCTCAGGGGAAGAGCGAGCACCGTTATGCGGACTGGATGTCAAGTTTACCGGATACCTTGCACGGTATTCCTCTTACCAACCTCGCCATACCGGGTAAGCCTCGTTATGCCTTTTAATGCGCGTATAGTAACTATGAACAGTGAGAAATTGCAGCAGATTATATATATGAATGAAAATATGACGCTTAGGGTCAGGTTCTTGAATGACTTAACTGACCCTTTAAAAAAGTTTTTTTAGTAGGTTATTGTCGTTAACTCTTGCTCAAAACACACATCGCAGTGAGAGTGTTCTGCTCATTACATAAAATGGGTTCTGCTTATGACATAAGCTATTGTGTGACTAATAGGTTGTCGACATTAATATTGCTCCAATCTAGCGAGTTTATAATAATGATAAAACGTGTGGCATAAATTAAATAGGACACTTGTTGCTCGAGGCTCGAAATCCGTCTCTGTGACGGATTAAGAGACACATTACACGTGTGCCACAGCTTCCTTTGATACAATATTACGAAATAACACAGATTATATATAGACCCATACTGCAGTTAGAAGATCAACAAAATAAATCAATAAAAAATTGCAGGAAATACCTTTGTCACTATTTTTTCTTGTTTTCACTACTCAACATCTTAATGACAGGCAATAGTCTAAAAAAAAAAACTAACCTTATTCATTAGCATTAATTTCCATAATACCATGAAACACCATACATCTTTAAAAATAGGTTATTTTTGCCATTTGTGGTTCCGTGAAGAACCTTGGGACCTTTGGAAAATTATAAAATAATGTTTTTGGTCTTCTTCTTTTTCTTTTTTTTTTTTTTTTTTACTGTTCAGTGTTCACTGAAAGGTTTTTTGGGGAACCAAAAATGTTCTTCTATGGCTTCGCTGCGAAAACCCCCACCTTTATTTTTAAGAAAATAAAACACCTTATTCAATGGCAGTATACTCTCCATCATACCCCATAAAACCTTTCTCACAGGCGCTGTACTCTCTATAATACACTTTGTGCATAATTTGCAATTGTGAGTAACTTCTAGATGGCATGTATGTTATGACTATTTAGGAACTGTGATTGTAGACACTCTCTTGAAGTGTAGAGTAATAAAAAGATGTTGGAAGGCATGTTGGAATCAAAGGATCCAAGATGTGTTTGCATACAGGCATTCCCCATGTTCATGGTACAACCAATTCATCACTTGTTGAGTGTATGTCAATATTTTCTGTTGAGACTAATCGTGATTGAATTATCAATATTTGCAGGCATCTGTTTGAACCTTAATGCAGATTTTCACACCATACAAAGGCATTTTAAAACACGGAACAAGTTTGAATATTTTGCTGTTGTAAGGGACTGGTGTTACGGCCTATATAGTGGTATATGGGTTGTTGAACAGCACTAAAGGCTGGAGCAATCAGCCCAGAAAGCTCTGATTAAAACCCTAATTAACGTCTATGTCACTGATTTCCACCATGTGCTACAGGGATCATGCTTTCTTGATCATACTGTACAGTAAGTGTTCTGACTTCTACTGTATGAAAGCAAACTAAACTGCATCATTTGTCTGGACCGCTGCAGTGGAGAAAATCACCTCATGCCACTGATACTGGTCTGGTCTGGATTCATCATTCCAACACTAGCACTGAAGCAGTATTTCCTACTTAAGGACAACTTGTCCCATCACTCTTTTGTAAAACTTTTGTGAAACAGTGTTGTCGGCAAGGCTGTGGGTGGGTGATGGAAAGTTGTAGTGTAGCAGCCGTTTATCAAAAGGCTCTAAACGAATTATGTCTTGAGTAAGAATTCTGAACACGTACCACTCCCACACAGATATCTTGCAAATCTGTGAGCTTTTAAGTTGATCTCACAATGCACATTTAAGATTAACTCGTGAAGACATGAAAAAGATATCCATTGAAACCCTGCCCAGGGGCTCGTATTCAATCAATCAATCAATCAATCAATCAATCAATCAATCAATTAATCTATCAATCAATCTATCAAATCTAATCTGTCTGTCTGTCTATCATTTAACACCACAATAAAAGCTTTTGTCCTTCCATTCATTCATCAATTGTTCTCTGACATAATGTTAGTCAAGCTTGATTTTGCTTAACTCGCATTCAAAACAAAATATAGATCATGTTTTTCAGTTTTATAATTAGAGAAAGCAATGGTCATTTTAGCTCCTCAGGATCAATTCCTAAAACATATAATCATTGATCCTTCGCCTTTGTCTCATGAATATTTCAGTAGTGTTTTATTTCAGCCTGAGGCACTTTTGCTTTCATGCTGTCATATTGTCAGGCTACTGGAGGTTTGCATGATTCAGAAAAAAAATAGTATTTTAGTTTTTTTGAAACTTGCATAATGCCTGTATAATATATTACAGGCAACATGAAACTAAAATCGACCTATTTACTTTGTTAATGCATGTTCCTGGTCTTCTGTGTTATTCTCGTGTTATTTTAGTGCATGTTATTCCGAATATTTTTCCCCTCTGATATCACTATGCCATTGTGAGTGACTGTTTGAAAATATTAACCAATTGAGTGCAACAGTGCCCACCTATATTAGCGGTCTTGTTTAAAAGGATAAAAAGCATAAAAGTATTTGAAAATCAGACCAAAAAAAAACCCCAAAGGTACAAGACTGTGTACTTAACGAACTAGCCAAGAAGCATTATGAATGACATAAATTAAAACCGATAAAGAAATAAAACTATATATAACCATACCTACTGATTTAATATGCATATATATATATAAGCATACAAATTACTAGGATATAGACCTTTAATTAGTACTTATAACGCACATATTAATGCCTTAATCTGCTATTCTGCATTAACATATTCTACATCTCTTAATCACCCAATACCCTTACTTAACAACTACCTTACTATTAATAAACAGTAATTAGTAGTTTATTAAGGCAAAAGTTGTAGTTAATAAATAGTTTATAGTGAGAATTGGACCCTAAACTAAATTTAAGAGTGTAGTAATTTGACTCTGCTACATCATTCCCAATGCTTTACTGGGAGGAGAAATTTTGGTGTAATTTCCTTGCTGCAAATCTGTTATTGGTGGAGAGTTCTTTGCAGAATAATGTGTAATGTTAGCCTGGATGCCAGCCCGAACCCTGCCCACAACATTTTTTGGTCGGGAAGTTCGGTCTGGACTCGATCCATTGAGGAGTAATTATGATCGGTTCAGAATTAGTCGGGCCAATCAAATTGCCAGGGCGGGCTTTATACGATGATGGACAGATGATCTGCAGTTACGTAATCATTGCGTTATCAAAGAGCGCTTGGGTTGAACTGGTTTCCCTCAAAGATGACTGCAGCTGGAGAATTGAGATGTATAGATTTCCCTATCGCGTCTGTTGTAAAAGAAATCGACAGCGCATTCATTTTAAAAGACGAACCGAGAACTGCAATCAAGGCATTTGTCGATCGGAAAGATGTGTTTGCCGTCCTTACTACACAGTATCTACGGGATTCAGCAAAAGTTTATTTTATCAGCTGGCTCCAATGGTCGCTAAGAAGATGGGATGCAATGAAAACCCTGTGGTCGTTGTGGTTTCTCGTTTGGTCGCACTCATGGAGGACCAAGTAAAACACTCATTATTTTACCACTTCCAGCGTGCGTGTAGTTGAGTTATCTTGACAACTTTGCGTAGCTCATAAAAAAACACGTACTGCGTTTCTCTGATTGGTTGTAGGTCTATCCAATTGAGTGCAGAGTTTTTTTTTTCCTGGTTCGGTTAAGACACGCCTCATAATCAAAGCCCTATGGAGCAGTATCAGACTCACATTCTGACTAGAATATGAGTATGACGAAGTTAGTGTAATGTAGTTTTTCACCTAGAATTTCACTGTTTAATTATGTAAAAAAAAATATATATATATATATATATATATATATATATATTACTTTTTTTAGTTGAAATAATGCAGACTGTTTTTAACAGTTAACTTAGAAGTTATCGTTGAAATCAATTTCCTTCTACCAAACTTGTTTGGTCTGGCTCCATTCTGGTAACTACCACTTTCCACAATCCAATCAATTCTCAATGGATAGAAAAATGGATTACAAATAGCCATTCATGTTGACTTGAATCTTTATCAGTAAATCTTGAACTCTCAGCCAAAATGTATTTCTAATATCAATTCCTTTCACAATCGTTTTTGAAAGATTCTGCTTCAAACGTCATCAAAGTCAGCATGTGGACATATTGTAAGGACATCCATGAGCCTGATATTTTTAAGCACTGCCACTCAAAAACTGTCTCTGTCACCTCCTGCGGCGTGAAGGTCAGTGCTTGTGCTAAGACAATCCAGTGTGTCTTTTATTTCCTCTATCGGAACTCTTTTTATAGTCGGTCCAAATTAAGAGGTTCAAGAAATAATTGTAGCCTCTCAAAGCTCTCCTCAGATTAAACATTTGACTGATCCTCCTGTTGCAGCTCAACATTGTTTACTTGTAGCATCGGTTTTGGCAGTATTTTGGAGGTCAGCTACTCGTCCTCCACATACTGTACACACTTGCAAAAACATGAATCATTCTTCTATTGGCAAACAAGTCTCTTACTGAACAGAATAGATATTCTGCCCGCATATTGTAAATGCCAGTGGGGATTTTTGTCACCAGGGAATGCATTTATCCTTTTGTTGTAGACATTGAACAGAGTTTAGGTACAAAATGAACCTGCGTACCTGTTAGAAAAATTCTTTTGAGTGGCCCTTAAACTACTGTGCTCTTCTGGATGGCTGGCTTGATGAAATCATCACACTGTTACAGTTGCCATTGTCACCTTCACTAGCGGCAGGAACCGGGGCAGAGGAATTGTGTCAGTGCTGAGAGAGGCTAAAGTGACAAAGCCACAGAATAAGCAGGACACCGCTGCTTTATCAGCCACCTGTATGCTTAGTGAGCAGTACGCAGATTTTTGCAATTCAGAGATAGGCATGGAACCTGGGTGTTATTGATTGTTATGGAGAGCCATAATTGATATTCATGCTATGGCTCTCATATTTTCATGTATCTCTGCAACTTAATCATGTAATCAGCTTTTGAGTGGCAGCCAATG